AAGAACAATATGATACATGATTCAATAGTATTTTGACAGTTTTGATTGTGACTTACCATTGAATGTTTCTTACTCCTGATATATATTCATCTTTTCCAGCTCTTAGTCCAGACAACGATGGTAAGCCTCCTGAAAAATACGTAGGAACTGTGCGACCGCCAGACTGTGCTGGCCAGATAGACTGACAACCAACTGTAGAGGACGTACTGACCCTGTTGTTTTAATGTGCCCTTACTATGACCTTCCTGTACAATTTGACTGATTGAAGTTCTGAACGGTTTTGTTTTAGTCACCGCCGTCGAAGAGTGCGAGGGGGCCCGTCGAGAGACCGTCCGTAAAGTGGAGGACGAAGAGAAGACGGAACGAGATTAAATTTCCTCTGTTGTTGTATTCCCTTTAATAAACTTTATCCACCGTCGATCCATTCTATCCGTGCACGCTTGCCCTTGCAGATGATGGACTTAATTCACTCTAATTCCCAGGGTTCCTGCCGAGGACGCCCTTGTTCAAATAAGAATACCAAGGAAGCCAGCACGGACTGTCGCCTAAAAGGAGAAGAAGGCGAGACCATACCCCCGAGTAACTCGAGTATTACAGTGGTGGCAGCGACTATGACAGACGCGCCCAACCCTTCCTCGTCGCCTACGTCTACCCCTGACAGCCTCCCAAATTCCTTTCGGCCTTTTGACGGACGGACCGAGTTTCGTAGTTGGTTACGACGGTTTCGTTTCCACACGAACGATGTGCCGCAGGAACAACGCTCCCGCTTGGTTTTTAAATATTTGGACGATGATCAGTTGGATAAGGCCATCGACGCCGAGCTGTCCGTCTCGACTCCCTTTGACGCCTTGTGTGATCAGCTCCAGCGCCTGTTCCAACCCCGTTTGGCCTTCGAAGACGCTATCCACAGACTCATACACCGTCGCCGTCGTTTCAAGGAAACACCTGAGCAGTTCGCTGCCGATCTAACGCGCTTGGCCTCTGACGCTTATCCGTCTTTGTCGGCAGCCGACAGAGACCAGGTCGTTCTTTATCATTTCAAGGGCGGCCTGGAATCCGACGAGGTGGCGTATTCATTACGCCTAAACCCCCCGGCTGACCTCGAGAGTGCCATTCAGAGGGCCACGCGGTTGTTAGAGCAGAACTCCCCCGGACCTGTTCACCATCGCTCTTCCGGAAGTTCAACCGCTCCTGCCAGCTATCGTCGACCTGGCCAAGGCCCCCACTCAGGTGGTTTCTCTAGGGCAAACAACAACTTTACGTTCCAGTCTCGTAAGAGTCTTGGGAATCGCCCACCACATGCGACGTCAGCAAACCGCCCGGATGAAGCTGATTTCGGTACCCTATCTATTCCTATATGCTCTTCCACGTCGCCTCATACATTACCTTTTTTTTACCCTGGTGCACGTTGATAACCGCCCCGTTAGGGCCCTAGTTGATACTGGAGCCACAGTTTCTTTAGTCCGATCTGATATACTTTCGCCTGCCCGCACGGATAGCATTTTTAAACCCAAAGTACTACCTAGCCTGCTGACGGCAAACGGTGAGCGGATGTCCACAATTGGCCTAATTATTTTGCCGTTAGTGTTCCCTTCTAGCACGAAAGAACACACATTTGTTGTTAGCCCAAAAGTTACGTGGGATATTTTACTAGGTGTCGATTTTCTTGTCCAGTTTAATTGTCATCTGGATATTCGTGAGCGCGTCCTTCGTTTCGGATCTGAACCGGCACCACCCCGCCACGCCATTTCGATCCCCCAGGAAGACGAAATCTGTGCTGCGATTGCTGCGGCGGTCGCACTACCACTCACTAACCTGGACAGCATATTACCAGCGGATGCTGAGCTCGACGAACACGACCGCATGGATCTGAAAGCCCTGCTGGCAACCTTTGAGGATGTTTTTGCGTGGGACGAACGCTCGTTGGGGCGTTCAACACTCGTAAGACACGCAATCGACACCGGCTCCGCAAAACCTGTGTGGCAACCCCCACGACGGATCCCGCCACATTTTCAGACGGAGGTGAACGAAATGATACAGACGATGCTTGCTTCAGGCGTGATACGCCCTTCACGCTCACCCTGGGCATCCCCAGTGACCCTGGTGCCGAAAAAGGACGGAAAACTGCGCTTTTGTATCGATTATCGCCGTCTTAATGCTGTTACAACTCGCGACTCTTTTCCGCTTCCGCGAATTGACGTTACTCTAGATGCACTTGCGGGAGCACGGTGGTTCTCCACACTCGATCTCAAGTCAGGCTACTGGCAGGTCGAAGTTGAACCCAAAGACAGACCGAAAACAGCCTTCATCCTCCCTCAGGGCCTTTTTGAATTTGAAACTATGCCTTTCGGCCTTTGTAACGCCGCCGCAACATTCCAACGCCTAATGCAATCGGTATTAGCGCACTTATATCCAGGCCACTGTTTAATTTATCTAGACGACGTCATTGTCTTTGGGAAGTCCATCAGTCAGCATAATGAGAATCTGAGAGCCGTCCTTACGGCACTTCGCGACGCGGGACTCCGTTTAAATCCCCAAAAGTGCACGTTCCTACGTAACAAAGTA